CACACACACACACACACACACACACACACACACACACACACACACTTGTTCTCTGATCTCTTTTGCAAAGACCGAAACTCAGAACACTTCACACATCTCGCCAACACCCCGCTCCACTCTTTAACTTTGCACAATGTGCAATCTTTTTCTTCTTCTCATCCAAACGTATAGTACGAGCCTCAGAGTAAAACGGGGACACAGGCAGGTGGCTCCAGGCCCAAGTGTTTCTGGCTGAAATTGAAGGCGAACAGCCCAGCCAGTCAAGTGACAGTTCCATTGATTTATCCATCCATCTATTTGTCCACCCCGCCTCCGCTGGCACAGATTAATGCGGCCCTATCACTCCATGTGAAGTGCACTACAGGGAGTAGATGAGTGTCTCAGCAGTGTCTTGAATTGGAATCGGAGAAAGTTACTTCATTTAGTCAAATGTAAACATTCGCCTGACCCCTAAAAACGGTCTGCAATGCAGGGTTTCAAGATGACTCTTTAAAACTGAAAACTAATTAAAGACCTTTTTACAAAAGTGGTTGTAATGTAAAATTCCTTAGAACGGAAATGATCTTCACCCTGTTTACCATAAATAAAAGCAGTTACACAGACGAAACAAGATTCACACACACACACACACACACACACACATTTATACACCCCCTTTTCCGGTGGCTTCAGCTTCCTGCATTTGTGGTTCAGACCAGATGTTTATATGCTGCGAAGAACAGATGTATTAATAGTTTCTGCTAGCAGAACCTTCTTCTTTAAGAAGGTGGAATGGTGATGGCAGGACGAGTTGCACTGTTCAACACAGCGAGATCAGGTCGGACAGCAGATATTTCTAACTCTTTCTTTCATGTGGTATCATTTGCTTCTTCTTTCTATCTGTGCGCTTCATTTAGTCTTTTTTGTAAAAGGAAATCCTCTTTTCGTGTATTTTTAAGCAGTGGTATCAGTTTTACATTATACCTAATGTTGTCTACCTTATTGCTAATTTTAAAATTGTACACTTTATTCAAGATTTTTTTTTGTTTTGACTCCATCTGCTCTTCCAAACCTGGGATATTATGAGTCATCCCCAGATGCGTATTCCTTTAGAGCACACAGAGACTATTGTTTATATGAATGAAGTAATTTAAGTGTGTAACACATTGTTGTGGTGTTGCTTTGCTAGCATTTCTAAGAGGATACAATTGTACTGTGCTTTAATGTAAATCTTCAGGTATGTTTTTAAAAGCACCATGAAATAGCACACAGCTTGTAAGGGAAAGACTTGTTGAACCTAATCAGTTGAGCTCTTTTAAATTCATCAGCACAAATGTAATCCTTTGGCTAAATGAGCGAGGGCTAAAAATAACCCCTGCAGCGTTTGTAGGAGGATATGCTTGTCTGCTATATAATAATAATTTTAAAAAGGACTGAGAGAAGAAACGGGGGGAAAAGAGACTACAGAGAAAAGAATGAGCATATGAGGAAAATGATTTATTTTTTAAATGTGCTTCCTTAAAGGGACATTGTGTAGTATTTTAAGTGTTTTATTAGCTAAAATAATTTTCTTAATTTATAAATGTGTCCTCATTTGGTGTAAAACGACCTCTGCAATGATCTGACCCCTCCTCATAAGCGAAGAATTTCCTATCTCTATATAGGACGGGTAAGTCCACGGAGGTTTCCATGTCGTTCCGCCAGTTTGAAACTATAATCGCAGAGAGGGACATAAAGCACTAGTTTGCCTGTCTAGCTCATTTCGTTCAGAGCCAGAGTCACGTGACTGAAACGTCGCTATCTTGTTTGAGGGTAATTACATGCTCACACTAATGATTCAGTGCAGTTTGTCATTTCTTTTAAATAACAAACCTCATCACCCGAGAAAACTGGATGATGTAGAAGTCATGTTGTCATTACTTCTTGAAGCATGATGGCTACCGTAGTTGCAATATCCATTTCAAAACGCGAGGCACTAGAGTGAACGATTTGTTAGAATGCAAAATACAATTTCACCATTAGATAGGAGAACTTCCTACACTGTGTACCTTTAAATGTAGTAACTGAAGTCTGTTCTAAGGTGGAAGAAAAGATAAGCTGTCACCAGGCACTGCAGGCTAAACCATCGGGGTTTTAAATACATATTTAAGTGTACATTTGACTTGTTCATTTATTCAGTGCACAAGATAAAAACTTTATTTATTCATTTACACAATTTCAGCGGAAGGAAACTCGTGACACATTGTCATTTTGTGTCACACGTTGTCTTTTTGTGTCACACACTGTTATCAGCAACATCCTCCTACAGGATTTCTGCCCACCACAGCTGGTTTGGGTATATAACAGCATTTGTTTTCAGTCTCATAGATATAGCCACGTTTTCATATCTTATACTTATGTTTGACACAACTCTCATGTTTGTTGGTTAGTTTTGGCAAGAAAGGAACCTTTGGTTTAGACTGGCAGAAAGATTAATGGATGGATCCATTCAGTCAGCAGGTACAAAGATGATGGAAATAAATAGCCAATACAGACTTATAATGGTTTGAAAATTAGATTGGACACAAAGAGATAAAGAACAGGATCCAGCTATATTGTTAATACTGCCTGTCCACAAGCCCTAATTATAACTAACCACATTTCTCCGTTGCTCCCTCTCCCTGCTACTACTATCCTACACAATGCTTGACAGTCTCAACAAAGCTCCCCAGGGCCCATAATCTAATAGAGCAGTCGGTACAAGACATCCACGCACACACAGAAACAGGCTTTCACACCAGCCAGCAGCACCGAGCGACTGAGGAAAAGATGAGGGACACAGATAAGACATCAGATAAATGAGATAAATTGGACACTGGGTGAGAAATGACACAGAGAAGGGTACTATTCTTTCCCAAGTCTCCCGAGGGTTGTTGGCTTGTGCAAGCTCTGGTGGGATCTCATTATTCTTTTGTGCGTGTCTGTGTGCGTCCACCCATCTGCTGCCAGAGCCTCGGTTCTATCACGACTTTCTGTGAGGCAGGCCAATCCCAAACGCTGGAGAGGGAGACTCGATCAGCATAAAACATCAGAAATATGTACATATTTATTACTTACGCATACCCGACAGACCACATTAAACAGGTTTCCTTTGGGAGTACCACAACTCTTTAAGCGTCCCTCTAAATTGAGTACTTTAGTCCACGTTAGACCAAAATCTTACAGATGACATTGAATGTTTCATGTACTGTACACTGACCTGGCTGTTGCTTCAGCAGTTAGTGGGCGGTCTTACATAATGCTCGTCCATAAAGAGAAGCTAGAAAGCCAAAGAGACAGCCAGTTTCAGGCTCCAGGCTGCGGTAATACCAGCACACGCGTACACACACACCCATAGTCACGTGTCCATCATGGCAAAGGACATTACATTAGTTTACTTTTTTTTCCCCGGAGACATACTACTCCCACCCCTTGCATTTGCCTCTCTCTTAGGCCATCTCTGTGCTTTACATTCTCAAGTTCTGGAAAAATATCGCTAAAATGTAGCGGGGATGCTTTTTGTCACTTAAAGTAGTTAGAACCCATAAAATAAGACACGTTACATTTGAAAAAAAAAATATAGATACAAAAAATATAGATACCGAAAAAAATACTTCACATACGCAGGCAAGCAGGAAATACAAATATCAAATTCTTAATATGTGCCCTTGTTTTTAGTTTTCAGCTAGTATGAAGCAGAATGTGTCTTGGGTTGCACTGGATTTGCTGAGACAGTTTTCAGCTAAATTATATTTTTTGTGCTTTTATTTTTCCTCACCAGTCAGAATCCCAAGTGTTCACGATGACAAACCCCTTTCATCTAAAGGCTCATTTATGTCAGCCTCAACATATTCAATAGCTCTTCTTGACAACAATGACAGATTATCGTCTTGAACCTTCCTTTTGAAGTCCCAGTGCCTGTCTGAGGCTGCAGACAGCGTGAGATGAGTCTTGGTTTACCAGTGCTGGTGGAACTGAGGGTTACTTGTGGGAGACGGCAGTAAGTGTGGTCTCTGCCCACTGGAGATGGAGTATCGAGTTCAGAGAGCATCCTAAATTGGAGAATGTGCTTCAAAGCACCAGGCTCACAATCATTCTGCTTCAGTAAAGACTGACCTCAGCCCGTCATGGGAAAAGTCTAGCTTTCCCTTCCATCCAACAGAGAAGTCAGACAGAAATCAGTGCCATCCATTAAACTTTGGCTTTGCTCCAAAGTGGATCAAAGGTAGATCTTCAAAGGGAGTAATTCAAAGAAACGGTTCTTAATGTCCCAGATTGTTCTGCAGCTTTAGACATTTTTCCAAACTTACAATGAATCTTTGTAAAACAGTCCTGCTTGAGGGTTTTGTAGACAGGCAAAGTCATGGAGAAGAGTTTTAGAACCCCAGGATCACAGCTCTGCTTTTTGCAGGCTTCTCCGGGCCAAGACCTTCAGCTCGCACCAGAGCGGTTCACATCTGAGCCTGAAGTCCAAAGTCTGTGACCAGACCTCAGGAGTTTGTTTTTTGGTTCTGTGCTGTACAAAACGCTGGGTCTCTTCTTTGCCTTTGTGTATCTATATAGGATAGATTCAAACAAAAGTAACCTTGTCTGTTTTTGAAAACCGTATCTTGCTGTGTTTCCAGTGGAGCTGGATGCGGATCACGCGCAGAGAGTCCCCGGGGCTGAACAAGGAGGGGTCCCACCGCCACAGGTGAAGCTGAAAGACAGGCAGAAGTTCTTTGAGGAGGCCTTTCAACAGGACATGGAGCAGTACCTGTCCACCGGATACCTGCAGATCGCCGAGAGGAGAGGTGAGCGTCCCGTTCCTCACAGATAATTCAGTCATCTTAAAGCCGTTTTAGTATTCCGTAGGTGTCAATGTGGAGACGAAGGCTGAGGTTAAGCTAGCGGTGTGTGTGACTTATTCAAGGGGTGTATATAAAGACATTCAGCGTTCAACTGAAAGAATTTAGAATCCCAATACTATCAGCTGAAACCTTAATACTTTAACAGCATATCACAAAATGTGATGATTTCTTTCTCTTGCGAGGCCTCTAACTCCAAGCAGCTGTAGAGCCACGGCTTTGTAAAATGCCACCATGCTATATAAATGTAAATGCACCCCTCAGGAAAGACCTTAATAGAATCCATCTGTGGCTCACCCCTAAAAGCGCTGAGATACTCTCCACTGAAACATGCTGCAGACTCCACCAGGATTCAGAGTGTGATTTCTCTTCTCTTTTCTCTGAAAAATCCTCCTCCCCTAATCCTCTGGAACTGGCTTACGAGAGAAGATTGTGAAGCAGGAAGGAAGGAGGGAAAGATGGAGTAAGAGAACAGAGACTTAAAGATGAGAGAGGGGGAGAGAGCAGGGGCTTGTGTTTTCACCGTCGGTACACTTTTATTGAAGAAGTAACAACACACACACACAGACACACACACAAATATGTATATAAACAAAAGCAAGCACTGAAACTATAAGACACTGAGTTAAACATTCATAGAGAATAAAGCAAAAAAGAAAGAGATGCACGTATCACAAGTGACTGAGCCACAAAACGCTATTTTTTTTACACACACACACACACACACACACACATTTAGTCTGTGTAATCTCACTGCAGGGAAAAGAAAAACCCATCCCTCCCAGCAGGGGAACCTTTTAGGCAAGGTCACATCGAGGCTAAAGGAGGAGCATGTCAGAAGCAGTCACATGGAAGTGATGATCTCTGTTTAAAGCTTCCCGGCCTAAGACTTTCACTACACAACCTCAGTGTTGGCGTACAGTTGTTTATTCATGTTCACGAGCCGGAAGCAGTTCCAGGCTGGATAGAAAAACTTTCTAGCGTCCTCCACAGCACGGTGCACGCGCTTTTTGTTGCTGTGTGTGTAGTGGAAACTGCACGGGTGAGAGCAAAGACATAGGAAAGCATGTGACAGGAAGCTGCTCACTGAGAAGTCATTGGCCGGAATTAGACCCGAACTCTCCTCGAGGTGTTGCAGAAACAGATACACGCGTCTCCACTGAGACGGACCCTAAAGGAGAAAGTGTGCTCGAACGGTTTCCGTACAAGGCCGACAAATTCCTCCATGTGACACTGTTGTGTTTGCCCACGTGTTTTTGTGTTACAATTAAAAAGGCTGGGAAGAGTAGAGCGGCCTCCGTGGGAAATAACGCTCCCCTTCTGTCTCTCTGTCTTTACTTTTCTTTTCTTTATTCCGCTCCTCCTCCCCGTGCGGCCCCGCTCTGCTCTCCTAATTTCCTTGAGGTATGATTGCAAATGGCATTTTCTATCACTGCTGCACACCGACCAATCATGTTGCTTCTCTGTCATGTGCTCAAATCCCCCCCCCCCCCCCCCCCCCCCCCCCCCTTTTCCGTGGTCTTTCCCCCCCCCCCCCCCCCCCCCCCATCCCCTCAGTGCTCTGGCTGTCTGACTGTAACGCATGCCGAACCTCAAGATGGTAAAGGGGGCGTGGGAGGGGTGGGAGGGGGGGCAATCTGAACAGCTGCAAGGTGGTGAATCCAGGAGCATGTCAGCTGATGAGGAAGTGGGTTTCTGCAAATAATGGGGGCCTTTTTATTCATGTTTATAGACTTTTAGAATGTCAGAGACACAGTTTCAACAGGGACGAGGGAGATTATGTAACGGCATGACTCGGCTTGTTCTCTGCTGGGAAATACTATGAGATAACGGGCCGTAGTGGATTGTGTGTGCCTGAAAAGCAAACTTCCATCATTCAAGTACGGAAGAAATTTCGGCCCTCTACATTAAACCACTTGGATTTGGCTTACAAACATAACCGGGTAATGAATTCCAAAGCCCTTTTGAGTAAGATCCAGCATTCATTCGAAGAGACAGAAAAATGCTTTCTGCATGGTCAGTGCAAATGAGACCCGTCAGACCTTTGATCTGTGGCCATACTGAAAGCTTTTCTCTAAAAAAAAAAACTAAGAAACATAATGACGGAGTGCTGGAAGTTTACCTAAAGCCATTTGTGTGACTGACCACGAAAGTTTAAGGTTTGTGTCAGCCCCTCTGGCTCTGACCAACAAACACACAGAGGACATCAAGTATCCACCTTTTCAGGTGCTGATGGCTGATGTGGTTTCTTTAAGTGAGCGGTGCCAGGATAGCGATTTATTCTTCTGTCATAGTTACTGTGGGCTTAACTTGCTTTATTCATCTTCAGCATCCCATATAAACCAATTTCTGCCAATCCACTATTTGTGACATCACCGCTTTGGACTGTGAGACATACGCAAAAATGCTGCTGTGCGAATCATACACGCGTCCATTTCAAATGCCGGCTTAAATGTGACCATTTTTCAGCTTTGTGTTGGAAGAAAACAAACAAACCTGGACTCAGCCCCTTGCTGCTGGACTCTGCCCGTTGCCTTGTTTTAGTGGCGTCTCACTCTCCCCCGCTGTTTCCAGAACCGATAGGCAGCATGTCGTCCATGGAGGTGAACGTGGACATGCTGGAGCAGATGGACCTGATGGACATGTCGGACCACGAGGCTTTAGATGTGTTTCTACACTCCGGGGGAGAAGACAACAGCGTAGCCTCGCCTGTTGCAGGTAGTACACCGTGGAAACTTAACCTAAACAAAGCAAGGCGTTCAAAATACTCCAAATCCAAGGCCGGACTTGAATAATCCAATTCACAAAAATTCTTTCTCAACTGATGCATGTAACTCTACACCATTCGGTTGTGGGTGACTAAGCTCGGTTATCAATTTCTAGAGTGATTATATCTATTTTAAGCGCGTTCAGACAGCCCATCATTTCAGAGTTTATCCAAACTCCTTTTAGTAGTTTGGAAACAACACAAAGATGTACTGCTTGAAACATTTAGTCATTTAAAACAAAAGAAAAGAACTTCAGTTTATCACTGAAACTGAACTTCAAATTCGTGTTTTCTGTGGGGGAACTCTAAAACACGCATGACGAGCGGGAGTCATTTCCAGCTCACAGTAGGGTTCTTCTCCCGTTGAAGGAAGCCCAGTGCGCCACCTAGTGTCTGCAGGCTGACAGATCTAATGGCCTCTCAAAGCAACATCACCACTACAGATCAGCATTTATTCCTCACACTTGTTTTCTCAACTGATTTTTCTTTGCACCTCAAAATCACATCAGTCTGTGAAGAAGCTGAATGTGTCTGTGTTCTAATCAGCCTCATATTTTCCTCTTATTTTTACAAAGTCCACACCTAAACAAAAATGTATCTAATACTGTCTTGATAAGTTTCAATGTGTTCCGATTTGAATTCTGAAGATTAAGCTTTGGTGAGTTTATGATTACATCAAAACTGTGCAATTGTGGCTGTTCACTGGCACACAAATCAAACCTACTTTTGCAGTGTTATGAATTTTGGTTTCGGCCGTTCCACCCAAGTCCCTCTGCTGTGCCTCAGGTCCAGACGTGGAGTCCTTCACCACAGAGATCAGCCTCCAGGTCCCCACCCAGGCCGAGCTCCGCCACAAGCTGTCCTCCCTCTCCTCCACCTGCACCGACTCGGTCAGCCAGGACACGGAGGCCGGGGAGGAGGACGAAGACGAAGAGGAGGAGGAGCCCGAGCGAGGGGGAGGCGGAGCGGGAGGATCCGGAAGGGGGAGGAGAGGCCCCCCCGTGGTGGTGACCCTGGACGAAGAAGAGGTGCACCCCGACACAGCCCTGGTGGACGGCGTGGATCCAGAGGTACAGAGCAGCAAAGACTGTGAGGGCAGCGGGCGGCGGGCGTGAGAGCGGCCGGACTGCGTCACACACAGAGCACCCACAACTGCCCAATCACACTCAGATACTAAACAATTGGAATCGGTTCCTATACATATATATATATATTTCATATCCAGAAAAACTTGAGAGAAATTCCTTTGAGGTTGCACTAACTGCCACAGAAACTTGCCTTAAAAGAGAAATGTTAGTTTTTAAATTAGAATTGAATCCTCTAAAACAGGTTTGAATCTGCTTCGCATAAAGGTACCGAACGGTTCAGCATGCACATCAACAATTTGATAGTTTTCAGAGGATTACTGATGTTTTTCCCATGGTTGAGCACACTGAGACTGTGCAAAGGCTCTTCCTAATAATAAAGTTATGAGAACACACAAATAACATGGCCTTTGCAACTACTTTTTTTTCTCATGCTCAGATCTAAAACATAAGCATTTACTGTGCTTATATGCTGCAACTGTCATGTGTTTGTTTTCCAGAACATCAGAGCAGTGTTACCAATCTTACCATACGCTTGCTAAAATTAATTGGATATTCTAGTTAAATAAGTTGCTCCAATAAGGATTTCTGAGGCTAATTACCAGTTGCTTAGAGCACGATCAACCAATGCTGACACTGATCAGGTGGTGTAGTCCCCATGTACATATTTCTGACATTTAGCAACATGTGCATCATATGAATTTTAAAAAAGGGTTGACTTGAGATGTAAAATGTCACATTTCTAAATCAGAATGAAACTAAATTGAAAAATAACACACCGAGCGAACAATCATATATACTGAGGCAATAAAGCGTTGAATTGTGTGGTTTTGTGTAGGCCGGGAGTTGATGAGGCTTTTGTGGCCGAGTGCATGTAGTCCATCCAACAAAGAGAGCACCTTGAGGAGCAGATCAATACTAAACGGCGACTGCTCCATGATGACTTTTCTTGCAACATTGCGCGTCATCAGTCTGACGGGAGCCTGGTATCGTGATGTTGTTTGTCGTCATCTGTGGATGGCGCTGTGTCACACTGATTCAGGGATATTGGCGAGTGCCAGATTTGCCTATGCGAAAGAAAGAAGAGCTGTACACTTACTGTCTACGACATTTAAATCCAACTTCAAATACATCTACAGCCGTTAAGGAAAGACTGAAACGGCATGGCTAACTAGTCGTGCTAATGATGGTATCTGGAAGAACCGATAGAGATTAAGGTTGTGTTTAAAATAAAAACAGCTGTGGCAGATGCAGGCTTTAGTCCTGCCTATCGCACATTTCTGACAGATTGATACTCTTTTTGGAAAAGTTTCTTGAACTTATGTCAAAACTTTATGCATAGGAAAATAAGAGGTCAAGTATTTCATTGTTGGCATCCGCCTTTGTGGTGCTGACAGAGGTCAGATTAGGGCCAATTTCATTTCTTCCCTCTCTGTACGTCTTTGTGATGTGATCCGTTTACTGAACTTCTATTAACTCCAGTCTTGAGTTTTAATGTTGGTCTCAAACTAACGCAGCTGGTCTGAGATAATGCAGCTCTTTTGGCAGTTGGCCAGATATTTAGGAGAATATTGGCATTTAATTTGATCAGGATCAATTAGAGCTCCCTGACATATTTCTGAGGAGTTTTCTATTAGATAAATGTCATACATTTCCTTTTTTGCTTATCTTCCAGACCATTAGCTTTAGATTTGCTCAACTTTAGAGACATGATTTTTTTTGTGCCTTTCTGATTATACAGGAGAGAAAAGAACACAATATTGGTGCTTGCAGCTTTTTTAACCTCCTTCTGCAGAAAGAGTGCCCTGATTGAGAGAACTCTTTGTCAACAGCTGACAAAGAAATATTTCCTATGATAAAATCCAAAGTTGAGCAGGTAAAACTTTTTTTCTTTCTTTTATCTGGGTCAATTGACCAGCTGATATGGCTTTTCCCCAGAACTAGCACTTTCAGATCACCTGCAGAATGCACAAAAACAACATTTCAAAACAGATCTCACTTTCACCGGTCCTTTAAATATAAACTAATCTCAGTGTTCCTGGCTTTGGGTATGTCAATGATACACACTACCCTTTGCCATCCCTCTGACCAGAGATATTTGTGTGAATTTTTCCTTTTAAATAAGAACCAAATCCCTGTTATGGACCGTGTGCTTTGCACTAGATGGCCAAAAGTTTCAAGTGTATCCATACTTTTGTTTGCCACCAACTGGTGACCTTCTGTGATCTGTAACAGCATTACTCCTCCTTTCCTTTGTCCGGCCTATTGTTTGCAACTTGTTGGGAATAAATGTTTTTGCCCCAAAAATGTTTCATTCACTTCTGAAAAGTTTGAGCAGGACTAAAGTTTCGAATGAATAAAGTCTAATTCATTATATAGGCATTAGAGGATATATAGATATGTGAAATGTAATCCTTTGCTTCCCAGTGCTAGTGTGTTACTACCACCAGGAGGGGGCAGTATTGACCAGCATCAGTGTGACAGCAGACCACTTCCAGAACACAGGTAGGACCTACTGGATGCTGCACTTGGGGTTTAGAAACTGACAATGGAAATAGTATGATTTTAAAGTAGTGTTTTCATCTAAAATGCACATTCCTGATTCCGTGTCCCTGCAACAAAAAAACCAAGGGAACCTAAATGAATTATTTTTCCTACAGTAAAATAAAGTCTTTCAACAAAGAAATGGAGTCAGGTTGGAAAGAAATGACAGTGAATTGTCAGTAAGTTTTTATTAAACCTTAAGTACAAACTGCAAAAGTAAAAAACTGTCAATATAACCAACATGAAACTTCCAAATGGAGGGAAATGCCAAGATACGGCACTAATAAATTAAGTCACCAGAGACCCCGCTGTGAGTTTTTACTGTAGAAAATGGAAGAAAACAAAAGAGACTAACCAATAAACAAAAAAAGAAAAGAAGAAAAAACATCCTATCTGAATAAAATATATTGTAAGGCCATAAAAACTTGACAACCACTTTTTTTTTTAAATGTTGAAAACACCCGACTTGGTATTTAATTAAATAGTCCTAAAACAGTTCAGTCTTCTGAAAGGGACAACAACCAACAAACTGGATTATAAGATTTTTCCTTGACAGTCACCACTGGCAAGCTCAGTGCAACATGAGTAGCTACTACATTTTTGTTGAATTTTCAGTAATGAAAATGTAAAAACCCATTTTTTTGTCAACATCTTTTTTCCCTTTTCTTTAAAAAAGTAAAGCTAAACAAACAAAACTAGGGGGTGGGCAATCATTGGCTACTCAATATCTTCTTTCTTAGTGATATAAGCAGCACTTAAAATTTTTTTATACACATTTACCAGAGCAACCCTGTAAGCGTCAAACTCACACGGATGAAGAAAGGGAAATGTAAGGCTTTTTCTTCATCAAGCACTTTCCTCCGGAAACTTTCTTTTCTTTCCTTTCTTTCTTACTTACTTAATCCCAGAAAAAGGCTCAAGTATTTAAAGAAATTTACAGGATATATGTACAAAAAGTTGATGTTTGTTTGTGTTGGATTTTTTTTCTCTCTCTCTAAAAATTGCTCATAATATATCTGGAAAAGGGGAAAAGATGCAAAAGATAACAAAACATAAAACAAGAGAAACAAAAACTTGGATTTGATATTTCACATTTTACACTCTTAAACTAGTGGCTCTACTTGAGATAACACTTCAGATCAACAAAATAATAATAATATAATATAATAATTAATGTTTACTGGTACAGATGAAACAAGAGGACTGGAAGAATGGAATGTTAACACGATTGCACATCTAGAACCAGAAAAGCTCAGGAGCCTCTCTGCCCTGTGGGGGGGGGGTATGCGAGTTAACCGATAGCTGGCGCTAACCCCCGGGTTTTATTTCTTGTGTTGTTATACAGTAATTATAACCAACAGCACCAATAAAAATGGATCTCCTTTTTCTACGTGTCAGGCACCGTTTTTACTCGCTAGCCAAAAGAGACCCTTCCATACTACGGGGGGAGTGAGGCGAGCGGTGACCCTTTCACGGGTCAAGCAGCTGCAAGTCTGCCCCCCTCACGTCCGCCAACGCACAGAAACATCCACCAGGACACAAATAAAAACACACGGAAAAAACTTCTCACGAAAAATAAGAACTAGCAGAAAACAAAGCTAAAATTCAAAATAGAACTCCGAAATCAAAACGTAGCCAACCGACAGTAAACCAACATCATTCATCTTTCAAGTTTTTACCTTGCATCTCAAAGCCCAGTTTAAAAGAAAGTGATTTTTTTTAATGAATTAACTGCATCGAGAACGCTTTGGGAGGAGGGGGGGGGGGGTAGAAGGGATTCTTCTTCCTCAAATAAAGGACAGCCACAAACTTTTGGTAAAAACTAGATGTCATTCTCATGAAAAAAAAACATGGAGAGGGGGGAAAAAGGGCCATCTTTTCATCCCAGGTTCACAGTCGAGTGAAGGGAAGGATCCAGTCTCAGGGATGACAGGCGGGAAGGAACGAGTGATGCAAGAAAAAGGAAACAAATGTAACCCATTTCCCGTTTCAGCCGGGGGCGGGATGAATGGGGGGATAAAGTGGAAAAACGGGCTCTGAACGATCCACTAAGTGTTTGTAAATTTGACGTGAGGGGTGGAGGTTCTAAAACCATCCACAAGTTGAAAAAAAGCTAATTTTCTTTCATACTAGTGCAAAAAAAGACATCTTGCGGGGTTTTTTTTGTGTGTTTTTTTTCAGTTTCCTTTTTATCAACAAGCCTGTCAAACTAAAGGTGAGGCGCGTGTGTTTGGAGAGACTGAGGTCAGGTGAGAGGGACTTCTGGACAATCTTGTGACACTCGAGGGACTGAGCGATCATACTTATGAGGGAAAAAAGAAAAACCGTGGGCTCGGGGGTTAAAGGGGTGGGGCTGGATGTGGGTACAGCGCGGTGGCGAGCCCCGCCCCCCCTCAGGACACCGCCGCTGCTTTGGGTATGTGGTTGGAGGAGAGGCGCGCCAGGGAGACCTCCACGGTGGCGCGCTTCCGTGGACCTCGCTTGGCGGGCGACGCTTTGGCAGGGCTTAAACTGTGGCAGGAGTCCCCCCCCCCTCCGCTCACGATGACGCCGACGGCTCCACCCCCGCCTCCGCCCTTTAGCAAGGCCCGGCCACACACCTGGTTCACCAGACTGTTGATTTGCTCCTGTTTGGGAGAGAAACAGCAGAGGCCCGTTCTGAATTAGACGCCGTTTTTATGTTCTGACGACTCAAAAGGAAAATCTAAATTAACAATACATTCATGTTCATGCCAAATAAATGATTTTTTCCTTGTTTTCTAAAGGGGTTGTTAAAAAAAAGCTCTAATGTTTACACTGAATAAAAGCATAGGAGGCTGTGTGGACTGTGAGGTGGGATGACATCGCCCCCTTCTGGACGGAGGGAGAACTGGACGGTGGCGGCTTACCTCATCATAGCGATACATCATCTTAAGGCCTCTGCAGGACTTGTGCTTCTCCACGTAGCGCAGGGCACACTCCAGACAGAAAACCACGTTGTCAGTCTCCTGAACCACCTGCACAGCCACAGGAGAAGAGAGGAACTTTATTTAACCATCATTAAAAGTGAACCTGGATAAAAAACAAATGTGATCCATTACATCACTGACGGGTCGTTTCTCCTCTACGGGATGAAGAAAAAGTCAGATTAACTTCATTTGGTTTGGATTTATAATTACGTGCGACTGACTACAGGTACAGTGACTTTATGTAGCATTTCTGCTTCTGCTCCTTTAAACCTTTAAACCTCATCTCATAATGACAGGACTTTGAGGGGCTGACTTTACGTTAAGGTAAAGTGTTAGGGGTGTTCTCACCATGGACAGGTAGCAGAGATGCTGGCAGATCTGACAGCGTCTCTCGGAGGACTCCAGTGCCAGCCATTTCCCGCGGGGCTTCTTGCGGCCCTCGCTGGGCCCCAAACAGCCGTCGTGCGTGCCGTAGCGAGCGGATGAGAGCAGACCTGCCTTGTAAAGTTCCTGACGTTGATGCATCTCTATGTTCCTGTTGAGTGAGGAGAAACACTCGTTTGCCAAAAGTCTGAGTCTTTTCAAAGGGATTCCGAGCCATTTCCCTGGGAGGATAAGATCAGTTTGCAGGGGATAAACGCCATCATGACTGTGATATCAATGATTACAGAGGAGATTTAAAAAAAAAACACTAGACTGTATTGTATTACACTTTACAGTTGCTGTGTGAGAGAAGAGAGTATTATCTGTTCTTTAGGGTGACATACATCAATACCACATTATTCGCTCAGCCAAATTAAAGAAAAGTCCCCTTCGGTTTAAAAAGGATCAAAGAAAAAAAAAAAGGAAAAAAAAGAGGGGAAAAAAGGGAAAAAAAGAGGAAAAACAAGGGAAAAAGAAGAAAAAATAAATAAATAAAAAGGATCAAAGCTTTTGGTTATTCTTTACCCGGGTCTCATCCCAACCTTTAAACCCTGAGGGCTGCTTCAACTGAACAGGTAAGTGTGCACTGCCACCACGCACCTGAGGTCTTTGAGTAGGGAGGAGATAGTGGTGAGGAGAAGGCCGTTGTCCCTCTTGGACTCTGCGGTGGCGATCTGATACAGTAGCTTCTCCATGGAGAAGGGTTTGGCTATACAACGACATTTCAGGTCCTGGGAAAAAAAACAAGCCAACGCGGTCACACGTCAACATCCACCATTTTCTATTCATTCATTTAAACACTTTTTTCTGTCTATACAAATTCTCCAGCAGTACTGACAGCATCTCTCAGGTATTAGATGTCATTGGAAACGGGTAACCGAGGACATTCTAACCAATATTTCTCAGGCTCTATTCTTACAAGTCAAAGGTTTGTTTTGACTCTGCCCGGGCAAAGCATTTTCATTAAACAACTCATTGTGTGAATATCATATTACCCTTGAGGCCAGTGTCAGTAAAGTCTGGAATATGATGACGATGCCTGAGGGTATACGTGCTTCCATCATAACCATAATGATAAGGAACATTTCCTTCTTATTCTATTTCGGCTATAATGATGTTCAGTTGTTCAGGGGCTTACGTGTGATCACATTATAGACATTCTACAAAATAAATATTTGCTCCCAACGAGGCCCGCCACTGAATGACTGTTTGCAGCTAAAGACGCGGGTTCATTGAATAATCAAGGCTGGGGTTCTGACTTTGCCATTACGTTTCGGTTGCTTTCCAATCTGTCAGCACTGATTCAACGTGAGCACGCCCCGCTCACCTTCGCAGCCTGGTAACCCAGGTTCATCCAGTGTGGCGTGGCAAAGTGCACCGTCTCCGACACGCTGTAGCCACAGCACACTTTAGAGACAAAGGCACCGGGGAAGCAGACCACGAACTGGCCACACCGCTGGACTGTACGGTAAACCTTGATGCCTTCGCGGCACAGCACCTCTGGAGAGATCTGGAAGAGGGGCGGGAAATAAACATTTTATGAGACTGATTTATGCCGTTCTTTAAAGAGAACTAAATGGGCCAGGGCAATGCTGACGTTGCAAGAAGCTAAAATAAAGAAAACACTGACCATGATATTCTTCTCCAGCATTTCTAGTCCTGGGGTGCCATTGGCTTGAAGCAGTGTATGGACCACTTTGTCCAGCTTAACCTTTTCCTCAGCAGGGACAGAATACCTGCCAGAAAGAACACACACAGACAAATTCAAAATGCATGTTTCTGGTTTTAAGGGGCTCTACATATTCATGACATGGGCAGAGAGTGTCTACTAACCAAATGCAATCAGCACCAGTGTGTAAGTAATCAATATATGGAAGGCGATTTTGGTCTCGAGACCAGCATGAGGTAGAAAAGACCATGCCAACGTTGAGCCAGGGAATGGTCACCCCTGCGGAGACGGGAGGATGCGAGAAAAACAAAAGCAATCGTCAGCAATGTGATGAGATACATCCATTCTGCATAAACTGTGACAGATTTTCGGGGCTTACCAGGCACAGCACCCAGATGCCTCAGTATAGATCCAGAGTTATTCGGCAGGACAGTGAGGTTCCATCCATGTCTGAGGAAAAGAAGAAAGAGAGTTATCTTTTCATGTATCAAATATCAGCAGAAAAATGCTCAAAGCACGTCTCTGGTTCCTCTAAAGGAGGCAATCAGAGCTGCTCAGAAAGATTGAGAGAAATAAACTTTGTGCAACATTTTGCCCAAATTCATTCATCATCAAATGTGAAGCACTCACTTTGCAAATGGCTCTGACTTTCCTGTGGGGAATCCACTGCCGTGTGTACTGGTGTCTACTTTCCCACAATGCACTGCCACGTGGCAGTCTCTCTGCTCCACAATCCTCCAATACTCTTGCTGTGAGGGGGAGGGAAAAAACAGGAAAAGCGATGAGTGGAAGAATGCATGAAACTGTTTTTTAGGTGTCAGCTCTGATAGTTTCCTGTAACAATGCTGCCAGCTGACGGCTATGAGAACATGTCTGTGTCCTCAGTGGGATAAGATGTGCCTTTTATTATCTGTTAACTGCGACAATCTGTTTCAGATCAAGCCGTTTGCATTTATTGTGTGTTTAATGAAGGTGTTTGCATGCTAACCTCAACCTCGGCAGCCCCCGGTTCCTTGTTAAAGCACATGGTCATGGTGTTCCGGGCTATCCTGAAGAAGTTGGTCAGGGACACCGATTTCCCCTGCAAAAAAGACTAATTAAACCTCTGAAGTGACAGCGGACCCTGTTGAAGAGAGAAAAACCTGCACACCGAAAACCGATGGTACTCAGCCATGGAAAAGGAACTACAAGGGATGTGAACCAAGAGTTGAAGGTGAATAAAAGAAAAACTCGTAAAGTAATACAGCGGGATATAAATGAATTCCCTGGATTCCCATCTAAAATGTACATATTTGCAGAGTCAAAGTATAAAGACTGCAGGCCTGTTCGTTCACAAATCATCTGCATGTGCTTTTATGTGTCCCTAAAAGGCTCCATTTCTGAACTCGTCCGAAACGCATTTCCTCCGGACTTGACATTCTCTCGTGAACACGCTTGCCGCGGAGAATCTTTTAAGATGGCCATAAATCTGTCCGCTCCAGGCCCGGAGATGCACGAGCCCAACTGGAAGCGGCCCTTGTAGGATTCCTCATGCTCCGGCAAACTATTTTTCTGTCTGTTCTTTATTCCTCTCAAAGTAGGTGTGCCGATGCTTTCAGAAATGGTAACAGACCGTGACCTGCGGTTGAGCCGCACAATACAGTGGCTACTTTGTTAGCACCAACAATCCTTCCTTTTTCCCAGTCAGAATAAGTAGTTTCCGAGCTTTTTTCCAAAGGTAATCAGTGTTAATTATATCCTTGACGTCCATTTTTCTTCTCTCGATAGATAAGGTGAAATCCAACCTCCTCTTGGAGGCCTCTTGTGATAAACAATGCACAAAAATCTAGCTGTGCAGGAGAGTGAGTCATAATTTGACAAGCGTGTCTTATCTGGATGGTGACAGCAATTCATATGTCACCGCATGGAACAGTACCCACGCACTTCAAAGGTCTATCCACTGTACAGGGTCAAGCCTGCTGAATATGTCTCGGTTATTCAGAGGGAGATCATTTAGAGGGATTTAGTTACCAACAAAACAGTGAGTGTGTGTGTAAGGGGGGGGGGTGGAGAAAAAAAATAATATAAGATCCAGATTTGGGTGGACAGGGTGGAGTTCTATGAAGGGTGAAACTGAATGTGAGAGAGCAAACACATTAACAAAAAGACATCTTAATGGCAGAAATTTTAGCTGTTTTAAGCATCGAAAAAGCTGCGGCAGGATAGACATGAACATGGGGAACAATTTAGTGCATTTGGTATGCATGAGAACGCTCCGGCTGCTGGAGGGGGCTGCGGAGGGATTGGAGAGAGATTCAGGGCCTCGGAGAGAATGAGAAGGCCAGAGACCTGGGGGGTAAGCAACGAGCAAGGACGTCTGCTGGAACCTGGGGGAAGTGGGGGGTGGAGTTCACCTTTTCTCTGACCTACATTTCATGCCAGCCAAAAGGAAGGAGTGATTGGGATGCATTTCAGGTGGGCGCTTTCCACACACGAGCAACATCAGAAAAGCCCCTACCACACACAAAGCTACGCACAAACAGGAATATGCGACGGGGATCGGAACTCCTGCCTTCTGTCTGTTCTGACTCACGTTTGTTGAATACATAACATCATGGTTACTGACTCCAATAACACAAAAAGACCCACAACAGTCAACCACGTCTTTACGGCTAAGCCAACACTCCTGAGGGAGATCCGCTCTAAGTTAGTGGCAACCGAGCACGCGTTTAATAGGTGGAAAAGTTAAATAAAAACGTCGTTTCGCTATCTAGGAGCCCAAAACTAGGAAAGTAATCCATAATGTTAATAGGCTGTTTGACGGACGAGTGCAATACCGACTGAGATAAAGTCAGGGATCACGCTGGGCTGCTAGTCCTATTAATGAAAAGAAGAGAAAAGCAAAAACTGCATACAAAAATCTTGAAATGCACTGAAATGGCAGGTAACAGTGGCATGCTTTGATTTATCAGTCATATTTCGTGGTTGTTGATGATACAGAAACCAAACCTCTGACGACTTATGCAGAGATTTGGAATGCAGCAGCATCTCAGCTGCTCCTCTCTCGTGAAGAATATGGTGAGGACAGAAAGAGAGTCAGGTAAAGTATTTTAAAACTTTATCTTCGGGGGACAACAAGAAGCATGTTTAACTCCCACTTGAAGTGGACGAGACCGACTCAAAGGGGCAAACGGCGCTCGAGTGGGCAAATGAAGGGAATAGAGGAATAGAGATATAAAGTCGGAGGGTCAATGAACCTTTGGCCTCCCTACTTTCGCCATCCTTGGTCGTAAATGTTTCTGGCAAAAGATTTTTCACCTGGTTTTTGTATTTGGAGATGTGACCTGATTGTATCAAGACGCCAAATCTGAATAGGGAAGACGCACAACAGCTTCGGCACAGACAGCGATGAGATTGCGGCGCGCACATCAATTCAGAACGACAGTCCAAATCAAACAGCGCGATAGATTTCGAAGTACAAGCACAAAAGTAGCAGCAAGTTAAACATTTTCTTGATAAGCGACCCTTCAGCCTGCTCGTAAACAAAGCAAATGATATCAGCGAGGCAGAGCAGAAGCAACGTCCAGGGATGCTTCTGCGCTGTTGACCTTTGAACGACAGTAAGGGTTTGTTAGCAGAGCTCGCTGACTTTAGATCACATGAGGGGAAAAGCACAGGAAACAACACTCTGCTCGTCTAGATGCGTATAGATCGTAAGCGGCGAGATCCTTCCCGGTCCCCACCTTGTAAATACATTTGTGCTGGTCGCTGAGCACGCCCCTGTGGTCCTCCGGCGGCTCCTCTCCGTGCTGCCTGTCCTCTTTGCCTTGTTTTTCCTGAGCGAAGAGCCGGCGCCGGCCCGCTTTGACCTGAGCCTCCAGCTCCTTCAGACGGTGGTAGACTCCGTTGGCGCGGGGGTGTCCCGCCGCCGCCGTGCCGCCGCCGCCGCCCACGACCCCGCCCACCAGCCCGTTCTTGGGCTCGTAGCGTGGCAGCGAGAGCCCGTTGGGGGCCGAGGAGTCCGAGAGGCCCTCCAGGGGGCCCCGCCGGGACTCCAAGTTCTTTTTCTCCTGCAGCACCTCGGCCAGCAGCCGGAGGCGCTCCTCTGTGCTGAGCGAGTCATAGGAGAGGATGTACTGGAGGTAGGCCTCCTGCAGCTTGGCCAGCCGGTCCTGGGCAGACTTGGGGATGTGGAGGAGGTCGGCAAGCTTGGTCCACTTTTTCAGGTCCATCACCTGCTGCATGCCGCCCATGTCATTGATGAGCTGGAAAAAACGCGACAGGTCCACTTCGCAGCCACCTTTAGGAAGCAGACAGACAGAAAGACCACAAATCAACAAGGGCGGCACCTTCCATTGGCTGAAATTTAAATCTTTTTACATTTTTTCTTCGTCTTGTCACATTCAATCAAATGTGTGTCACCCAAAAGTGTTTTTGAATGGAGAGATTATCCATTTCATTACAAGTTTAAGCTCCTGGTTTATAGTGGACAAACCGAAAGCAGAACACAGACATCTTGGACCATCTGGTCCAACCATGCAAATCTTCCTCCAGCCTGGATCATGTCATTTGAAAGCAGCCAATTTGCCTCTCCAAAACAATTTGGTCCGTCATTGTGCCAAACGGAGACACAAATGACTCTTAATGTAGAGCCGATCTTCTTGGGTCTGGGCGGGGGGTCACGTGGGAGTGGCGGGGTGTTCTGGCTGCTCTCTCGGGCCAACAGCTGCAACACCGCTCCCTGCCCTGAACTGATCTGCGCAGCTGTGTGTGTGTGTGTACCGCCACTAACGGGGCACGGCACAGTGAGCCCACGAAACCCGCCAGTCTACCACTATCACATTTCTGCCCGCCGCAGGCCTACATGCATGGGAACTTTTGCGTGTACGGAGAGTTGGATATAAAGTTGCTGCTTGAATTCTCTCATTAAAATGCTGAAGTTTACTGCGAGAAATTTAAGATGACGGCGCTGTAAAGGACAGATTCCATTTTGGGTGTCGAGCTATTTTGTAGTTTTCCTCCATATCTCTCAAATGTGAAAAAGTGTGTGTTAAGAATCTGAACGGAACAATGTTTGCAGGGCTTCCAGTGAAAATGACCACAAATAAAACTTTAAAGCTGTTAACCAGCTGCTTTATGCATTTGTGGACCTTTTCTATGTACTGTATATCTTCTTTGGTCGAGCTATAATTTGGAACCCTTTATGGGGGATTCGTTCCCCCCCTGTAAAATCGATAGCCCGTGTCCTCTGTGGCAGTGTGTGGGGAGACAGTTGCAGATTATTGACCGTGGTTTGCCATTACCTTGCGCAAAGTCACATGTGTGTGTGTGTATGTGTGTGTGTGTTTGGCTTGCTCACCGATAACAGGTGGCTCATCCATGGTAATGCCCTGAGATTTGAGGTGCTTGCGGATGCAAGCCAGCCGCTGCACGTTGGGACCCCAGCGTCGGCCCAGCATGTGGACCTTCTGCACCTGTGTAACAAAACGCATCTCCTCGTTCAGCTTGCACTCCGGCCGCCAGTCGGGCGGTGGCACCACGCGGCACATGCCAGCCACTTCGGCCCGTTCCCTCACCGCGTCCAAGTACACCAGGGGGTCCTGGAACTCCCTGGGACTTGGCCGAAAGAAAGGGCCTTCGCCCAGCGCGGCCCAGCCCTCCGCCTTGCTCCGCTGGCGCTCCCTCTCCTGATCTCGCTCCTTGTGGCGGGTCAGCTCTTTCTCGCGCTCCCACTCCTTGTCGCGGTCGGCCGCCCGCGAGGCTGCTGGTTTGAGCTGTCCGGGGCAGTGGGAATTGAGGAGAGGGGAGGCGGAGGCGGCGGTGGCGGAGCAGGAGGAGGAAGAGGACACCGAGGTCTGTTGGGGGTCTGAGGTAGTGCTGGCACGGCTGGGATTTGGTGAGTGATTGGGGCCGAGTAGCGGGGAGGAGGAGGATGAGGAGGAGGAGGAGGAGGAGGAGCCGCGGCCGTGCGCTCGGCTCTGCTGCTGCTGCGCTTGTCGGATCAGCATCAGCTTGCCGGCCGAGGCGCGCTTGGGCCGCTGGTTCAGCGACTCGGCGCCGGCTGCTGGTGTGGAAGGAGGCGGGCTCTGCTGCTGAGAAGGCGGGGTGGAGGGCGGGGCCGGAGCGGCGGGTTGCTTAGTCGGTTCGGGCGACGGGGGCCTTTCTGATTGGAGTCCGTTGGCCACTGGGGCGGCGGGGGGGGCGCCCTGCTTGGCGGCCCTCTCTTCGCTGGCCGCCCTCTTGCTGCTGCTGCGCGTCTCCAGGGGCGCGGGCTGGAGCTTGGCCTTCTTGGCCTCTGAGCCGGTGGCTTTGGCTTTCAGGTCCACGGCGCCCACGGCGTTGAGCACCACTTCCAGACGCCGCTTGGAGTTGCGCAGGCCCTCCCGGCCCGCGCACTCCGCCGGGCCCGGCTGGCCGGGCCTCTGCCTGTCCTCCCGGGCCGGGGCGTTGTGCCGCTGCCCGTTCAGCCGGCCGTTGGGCCGGCCGTTGGCGGCCGCGTTGTGCAGCCCGTTGGATAGTAGCACCTGTTTGCGGGTTTTTGCATTGCTGTGGTGGGCTGGCGCCGCGGCTTTTCCTGAGTGGGCCAGCCCGTTGCTGGCTGCTGGCTGGCTGTGCTGATTGTGATTGTTCGCTGACGACGGTGCCGAGGCGGCGCTGCTGTGTTTGTTGCTGAGTTTGGTTTTCTTGCCCATCTCTTTCTGCTTGGCTTTGGTGTAGGTGACGTGGCCCTTGGACACGGTGGCTGTGTACTTTTTCACAGTTTTGGACGGCATTCGGAAGTCCCGGCTCTTTTTGGCACCGCCAACAGCTTGTGCCAGGCCTGCCCGCGTCAGCCCGTTCACTTTAGAGACCTGACACAAACACAGGGAGTGGGAGGGAAACAGAGCAAATTAGATCAACACAGTCTGGATCTATCTTTGTGGTAAATAAGACCGCATCAACATGGTAGCACAGACAGACTTCCTGTGAGACCTTTGTCTAAATATGCACTCACGCAAATATAACACATCTACACACACATACAGAAGCGTGGGTGCGCCTACGCTCCACGATGAAGAGGCCAGGTGCTAGGTTTCTAGCTAGGTGGTAAAATGTTTGTCCGGCCAGACCAAAGCTTTGCTTTTTCATAAACTGCAGTTCGACGCCGTGGCTGAGGTTTAGAAAACGCTGTGTGAAAACCAAAAGCATGACATCCGAGGATAAACAACAGGTTGACCAAGAGTTAGAAAAGGAGACGGCAGTGAAATGGAAAGCAGAGAAGGCTTCTGCGAGCAGATGGCTGGACGCTATGAGGTGGGACGAGGGGTCATTTGGGCTTTTAAAAATAACTTCTCAGCTCTAATGGCTTTTTCCGTGAATGTGTGTTTTAATGAGCATGTATGCTAGATGGAGAGAGAAAAGGAAAGCGGCTGGGTGTGTGTTAATAGAAGCATAATAAGTCTTTAAGACACCAGCTGCAGATCGGAGGTTTAATGCAGTGGCACTGGTTCTTTGGCTGACTTGGTTGGTTAGATCTGTTGGAAGAGACACACTCATCCTCTTTCATGGTTCAAAGATTTTTTTTCTCTTAAGAGCTGGCTTGGAAGACATCCACAGTGTATTCTGGACAATCAAGTCAGTAGTGTCTTACGCAGTCAGGCTTTTCTGATGTGCCCATTTTCTTTATATCACTTCATTTCCTCCTATATGGGTTTCTAATGACACCCATACCCCCCCCAACCCCCGACCCCCTTACCTGTATCGTGTTTCCCCCTTTCACCAGCTTGTGGGACGAGGCCATAAAGCGCACAGACAGTTTTATTGAAGCAAAATGGGCTCTGCGGGTTGCCCGGAAGATTTCCTGGAGATTGTTTGTCTCCTTCGTTTACATATTACAAGTCTATATCCCCCACGCAAGGTGGGGAAAGACAAACTTACAGGTAAATGAGAACAGAATTCTGATTTTGAAGAAGAAGAAAAAAAGCTGCATGATTGCATGCGGTTGCCAACTATCTGCTGACTCTGCCCGTCTCTGTTCGTATGAGCTTGATCTGAGTCACAGGTGCAAGACCGAATGGAGGAAGGGAGAGATGGAGTTATCAATCACAGCCGGGGCGCCACAGGAGGGAGGTGACAGCCGGCCCATTGACAGGTTTGCCTTTGAAGGGCTCTTGTGTCTCACACACACACACGTACGCACACAATCCCGTTATTGTGTGTATATTTATGTGTGCGCGCATGTATTGTGTTCGTCTCAGGTGGCAGGGGGCCGACACAAAGACCAGGCCATTAAAAGATAAGGGGGGACTGAAACCTAACCCTGCCTCCGTCAATCACTTCTCCAAGCACACACGCACGCCCGCGCTCACAATGGAGAGAGAAAGAAGCGTGACAAGGAAAAGAGGGAGGAGAGGAGGAGACGCTGTAAATGGGTGAGAAGAGAGGAGGACAGGGTGGAAGACGGACACCCCGCCGCACGCTCCCTGGTGTTTTCATTTAGCATATCCTGGGTTTTGAATCCCTTTTCAAAATATTTGCTCCCATTTAAAAAGATGTATTTTCGAACCGCTTATTTGAGAACTCATTATCGATGGCTTATGGAACCCCGCAGTTTGGTTTGTAACAGCAGTTGAGGTTGAAAAGTGGGCGCCCTGTTCTGAGACACTATGATGAAGAAATGGAAACTAATTTCTAACACAATAGAGCTCCGGATCTTTGTAACCAGTGTGCTGACAAAGCCACCCAATGGGACAGATGGTCCTGAGCACGTCCTGCCACCAGAGGGCTCAGTGGACCTACTCTCATGGTGGGGGTGGGGGGGGGGCAGGTAACCCTCCTTATTTTCTATTTGAGCGTTTCTTTGGTGAAAGAGGTATATTTTGTCAGGGAAAGAATGGGAGGGAGATAGAAAGGTGACAGAAAGATAGAAGGAAGAAAAAATAAACCAAAGACTGAAAACAAAGAGAAAAAAGAGAGAAGAAGAAATAAAGAGTAGTGATTATCTACGGGCTTTGAATGTATTGAGAAATTAAAAGCATAGTGAAGAGAAGCAAGAAAGTGAAGAAAGGGGAAAAAACCCAACACGGGAGCGGAGGAGGGGAGAGGATTTGGGCTGCACGTGAGCGAGGAAGGGGAGGGAGAGTGAGGAGGGTCCTGATGACATCATGTGTTGCTATAGCCCAGCTGAGGCCTGGCAGGAAGATTTTTTTTTCTCTAAAACACAACAACAGCAGGAGCAGTCCCTGAGAAAAGGGGGAGGAGATACAAGAGGTGTGTGTGGAGGGGGGGGGCACAGACACACACTGGAATAGAAGGCCAAAGAAGGATAGAAGGATAGAAGGAAGCAGGAGGAAATCTAACCCTTAAAAAAAACACACTGAATGACAAAAGAGAGGAAATGCTGAGGGTTGCCAGCTTGGCTGCAACTGCTATCCATTAAATCATCCAAAACAGGATCCACGATCTGCTTAAAATAATGACCTCTGCACAACTGAATGGCTGAGACAAGTAGAGAGCAGCCCTGAGACTCAGTTCGGCCACAATGATGACCGACACAGGGGTCATTCCTGCCCGCACAAACATCCGTCTGAAATCAATCCTCTCTGGGAAACTGAATATACCTTAGTGGGGCGCTTTTCGCACATTTACAGCAGTCCTAAAGTTTGACAAAGCTGTGCCAGAGGGGGCCCCCACGGGGACGCGTTCGCTCTGGAAAACGTCGCAGAGGTTTTCTAGCCAGCGTACAAACAACATCTACCTAAGAATGCAGAGGGAGGCGTGTACCTGTTAAATCATCCGGGGCATTTACTGCCAGCGTGCACACCACCAAGAGTTACAGCGTCATATTCTTTTTTTCCTTTATTTTTTTTGCTGACCTGCGTATTGCTTTCCGGCCGCTCAATGATTCTGCAGATAGGGTGGGAATACGTGAGGGGTTGACGTCAGCACAGAGATGCTGATCGAGCGGTCTCCTCCATTCTCAACACGGTGCACACTAAACAAGGACTTCTGCATCGTGTCCTTCATCCTGTTTGCATTTAGGCAAATGCTCACCTGCAGCTCAGTCAGCTTTTTGGGATCAAACACTCATGTCTAGGGCAAAACAGCTCTTAATCTGCTGTCCTGCTACTACAGCTACCATCACTAACTATAGCGTATTGCACATTCACCAAATGAGAATGACAACAACTGAGACGCCTAAGGAGAAGGACATGCATCCAACCTAAGCCTTCTCTCCCGTCTGCTGTCTGCTTCGGATGAAGTGATTTATGTTTTAAAAAGTGAGCTGCTGCCTGTTCTAATTCCAAACTCAGGCTAACAGCTAAAACTTGTCCCTCGTAATTAAACACATGTCACAAAAACATTGCTCAATTTAAAATGCTCATTTAAGTCCTGGTGGCTTGTCATCTACCTCCCTTATGCCCCTTCATTTCCGAGCATAAGGGAGGTTAATTGAGGAGAAAGGATGAACAAACAAGAGAGCTGTCTCCAAATGGCGCAGAGCTGGCTAAATGGCGTGGCCTCGCATGTCCCCACCCGCCCTCGCTGCTGGGTTGAGCTCTACGTCTGTTATTCAATTAAAAATGGAAACAATCCTATTGTGTTCTAAAAGGTTCTGTTTCGGTGAACGTGTTCTGTTCCGTCGTTAGATAAGGGGAAGGCCGAATTCCAGAGAGCTGAATTATGATAATGTCTTCTCCCTCTGGTTTAACGTGCCCAACCCCGGGATCGTTTTACGGCTACACGATCGCCTAATGCTTTTTTATGTCTGAGCCTAGACGGCTGATCGAGCATATAAATGCATGTGTCTTTAAACACACGTGGTTAACACTCATACTATTCACGCTAATTGGAAGGAAAGTGAAGTAGAAGAAGAAGGAAAGAAAAAAAAACATTACTCCTTCCAAATGACTGGAGCTGTGTTGTCAAGGGCAAGATCTGTCTGTCGAGCACAAGAGCAGAGAGGGGAGAGAGCAAAAGTGTGTGAAAGAGGCAGAGAGAAAAGCCCGAAAGAGCAATGTGAGTAAAACAAGTCAAAAGAATCACAGAGGGTGCCAACAGCGTGTGAAGGAAAAAAAAAGAAAAAAAAGAGGAGGAAGAATAGAACAAAGACTAGTTGGAAATTGCGGCTGAAGTTAATCTCGGCAGCCAGTCGCTCACGGTGACTTTCATTGTGGGTTTTACTAGACAATCCGAGCCCCTTTAAAGACCAGGGGCACGTGTCTGTGTCAGCGTTAGTGGCTGTAGAGAAAAACATCAACAATAACAACGGCGACTGGAGGAAAGAGGCTGGCATTTATCAGACGGGAGGGGAGAAACATATGAGCATGAAGGAAAAGCAGATGAGCGCGTAATATGGGACCTGGGAAGACAATTGCTTTTAATTAGCCAGAGCGAAGCGGGAAAATGCCGGTTTTTCTGACGACAACCATCGTGAGGCCTTCTGATTTTGTGCCTTCACTTTGCGGGGTTCCTTGAAACCTGCTAAGTGCCATGGAGTGAGGCAAGATTTCACATCCCCTTGCCAGCGCTACTAAATATAGCCAGAGTCGCGGCAGGCCAAAACACAATCATTACTCTCCCAGACACAATGCATGGAGGAGGAGGAGAAAGAAGGGAGAGGAAGTGGGAGATATAATAAGATAGAAGCAGCAAAAGTGAGGGAGGTAACGGGGTATGTGGAGAACGAAGGGAATGAAAGAAACAAGTGGAGAAATCACTAGATGGGATATCTAAATAAAAAAAATGGTTAGCATATGGGTGGATGAAACACAGCTGAAACAGTATGGGATGCTTTCAAGCGCGCCACTAACTCCAACCATTCACTTCCGCGGACATCTAGACATCCTCCGCTTCTCCATTTTCCCCCCGGCTCAGTCGTACCTGCTTCCGTAGCTCCTCGGCCGCTCTCCTGGGTGGCAGCCCGTTGGCCGAGGCCCGGCCGTTGGCCAGAGCCAGCTGCTCCCTGGCGTGCTCCCGGGCCTCCGCCCGCTCGCTGCGCTCTCTCAGGAGCGGCGGGGGAGGGGGTGGGGGCGGCGGCAGCGCCGGGGCGGGCGCGTCCCTGCTGTGAAGCCCGGCCTTGGGGCGCGGACTCTCCCTGGTCCCTGCTTTGCTGTGGCCGTGGAAAACTGTGGAGGAATTCAGTGAAATGGAGTGAGCAGCGATTTCCTTTGCATTAGACGTGAACACATGATGAGAAACCTTCCTTATTCAGAATAAATATATATATATTTATATATATATACACATGTATACACATCAATTTACATCGGAAATTTGGCGTTCAAATTCAGTACTTCTTACATTTAAACGTGTCCAATTTCACAAGTGTCAAAGGACAGTAAAGTGGCAGATGGCAAAGTACATATTCATAAAGAGTTTCGTCAAAATTTGCCAAGGAACAAATCAGTAAAGCCGTGTATGACCACTGCTTTTTAGTTGTTTTAAGTTCAGATTGATCGCTCCAATTCACAAATGAGGTGATCTAAAAGACCTTTAGTCCCAATTTATCTAATCCAAATCAAAACAATTCCAATTCCACTCATCTAAATTCAATGTCATTCAGTCCAATCCGACCTAATTCAATGCCATCCAAACCAAAGCAATTTAATTCAACACCTCCTTAGGTGTAATTTGATGCAATGAACGCCATTTAATTCCACTCTATTCAATCTGATTCAGATCCATTCAGTTCAACCTGATTCAAACTAATTAACTGTGATTCAGCCTGATAAACTTAATTCAGAGCAATTTTGTCCAACTCAAACCAGTCTAATTCATCTCATTTGTCAATTCTTTTTTCCCAAATACGTAGCCTAGCTATGTAAACCAACGGATAGTATCGAAAATAAAATTCGATTCAATCCCCCGTCCCAAAAAAGCACAGGATACCAAGTAATCATGGAGAAAAGAAACTCCCTTTTAACAGGAAGAAACTTCCTGTGGAGCCAAGCTCGGGGAGGGCGGCCATCTGCCTTGACCGGTTGGGGAGGAGAAGACAGGAAAGAGACACAAAAACAAAAACTCTGGGGCAGCAATACCTGCTACGAGGAAGAAAACAGAAAAAAAGTTAATCACTGCAATGATGTCATCATCAATCAGAGTCAAGTGAACAGAGTAAAGAGAGATGCTGAGAGCACTGTGGAGGGTTCCCAACACGGGCAAAGGGATGGCAGGGGCTCACCCTTACCAGCCTTTACCATAAGGGTTGTAAGAATTCAAGTGAGAGGCATGCTCGACGTATGCACACATGGAGAAAAATGACACCCGAGTGAGGAGAAATGTTCATTGAATTATAGGAGGTAACCCCGGCGAAAGCTGAATCAATCGAAGTGGGATCTCATCCATTCAGACCAGGTTTCCCCAAAAGGTTTTCCAATTATGTCCACGCTGTTTTCTTGATGACTATAAATTGTTAAACCTGATGACACTGGTCAAGTAAGGCGGGGCACCAGAGAAAACTACAGAATCCCACGCTTTTTCAACCCAAAAAATGAATAGCTGTGATTCTACGCTCTTCTTGTTGATCCCCAACAGCAAATATAAGAAGAATCTTAGTGTACATTTCTGGTCAAGGAACACAGCTAACAATGGTTGTTGGTGTCCAATTTACCTGCCATTCAACTTTAACCAGATATAGGATGCTATTCAGATTCTGAAAGCCTTGCCTCCATGTTAATTTGTCTGTTCAGCTGCGATGCTAATCGTAAAGCTCTAGGAGATACCGTCAGGACAGGCCATAATCTCACAGAAACACAAGTGTCTTACAGAGTTGAGGAATCAACTGAATGAATATTCATTTACCTGCTTTTTTAATGCCAAACAACACGGTGGTAATACCTATTGACACAAGAAAGCCACAAACAAACAAACAGATTGAAAAATAGACTTCTGGGGAATGTTCCAAAACTGGGGATGTCATTACCCGTACGCCTATGTCAACAAGCAGAATGGCCTATAAGCGCTGGGGACCAAACCGCCGCGACCAGAGTCTGAAACAACACCGAAGTGACAAGCTTTTGGCAAACGGGCAGCCCCTTAATCAGTCAAATATGCATGATTTAAGGTGTGTGTGAAAACGGCTTTATGCTAGCTGTCAATGAGCCTGTTGGAAATGAGCTACGGCTGCACGGGCCCCTGGAGATGACGATGCTAAGCGGGTCAAACGGCAGCGAGCCCATTAGCATACCCATTCAATAGCTCTATTTGCAGCTTTAATGAGACTCGAGTTAAACTTTTACCGGGGTCCTAAAAGCACCAACACAGAGCATTTACAGTAGAGCTCGACACACACACACACGTGTACACACAGAGATCCGTGACACAAGTGAGCGCCTGCAGGTCTCTGGGGCCCCTTGCTCGATGAAAAGTTTGCCAAACTCTGGCATTTTTGGAAGTGAGAGCAATAAAAATCGTTGAATTTAGGTATGTCAACATGGCACGTGGCCGAGAGAGAAATAGAGAGTGGGGGGGGGGCTGATGAATGGCCTACAATGTTAGGCCTTTCCCGTCGCCCTTTACCTCCCAGAATAAAATGCTCTTCTCCTCAATCCTCCAATTCTGTTTGCTTCTTTCTTTTCCAACTGCCCACGTGTGCACGTGGACACGCTCCTGTTGGAGAGTGGCCCAAGCGGCACATTAAAATGTCACTTTTGACACCAATCTTTATACCGCGGAATGCACAGAGGTGTGAGCCTGCTTTTTCTCCATGTGTGCGCCTGACATCCAACACAGCATAAATACTATCAACGCTGGAGCACCGGCCCCATCTGTGTGTGTGTGTGTGTGGGTGTGTGTGTGTGGGTGTGTGCGTCTGTTTCTGTGTCCTTAACCCCCCTCATCTCTTTTGTCCTTTACAAAGTATATCGGCTTGCTTCCGCATTATCTGTTTATTTAGCATATCGCGGTGAAGGAGCCGGGCTGCTTTGCAAACACTGTTTGGGCGTGAGATAAGAGGAGAATAAGCCATCGGCCTGCACGCCAGTCTGGATTTGTTCAGACGGGTTTCTCCGTTGTGGCGTTCGACGCAGCAACTCGAGTCGGTAAAAGGATGAGGGGGGAATGTGCACGTGTGCGTGCGCTTAACTACAGCAGAAAGAGAAAACCTAAAACACTAAAGTCTAAGTGAATCTATGGAGCTCTTTCCTTTTCTTAATTTCGCTCATCCCCTTTGCTGTCTGTCTCTTTCTCCACAATCCACTGGAGGGGAAACTAAAATACCCCAGCAAAGCATTACTATCGGAAAGCATTCATGTGGCAATTCTACAGACTAAGAAAGGAGTCAGAGTCAGTGAGGGCGAAGAGGAGGAGGAGCCCTGAAATTCAGCCCTTATTTCAACTAGAATGTTTGATCTGTCTCCAGGGGCCGGTGGGGACAGAATAAATCACTCCAGTTCAACTGACTCACTAATTAGAAAAAAAGACAACAGTATCTGTGGAACAGGATGCAACGACAAATGCACCGAGGAAAATATCCTGGATTCTCTGACACTTGCTAATGAAAGGCTTGCCGATCTGGGATTTGGAGGACCCCTTAAAAACACGATGAGAAAAAAAAAAAAGTATCGTTCTGTCTTGCGTGTGCTCAATTTCCTAAATGTTATTCACAGTGAAGGCAACTGCATGTATTCCTCCAAATGTCTACACGCCCCGGGGGCTGTACATATGCTCTCACTGTGTTGCGTGTATTTGTCTGGGGTCCTGGCCAGCTGTTGCAGTGTGTGCATAAACACCTTGTTAGGGCTTAGTAAGCTAAGTGTTAATTGGGGTGGAAAGAGTTGATGCGCCGCTCTGCGATCCCCTGTGACTCGCCCCCTCTCTGCGGTGGAGGAGCAGCAGTGCAGACTCAGGAAATTGCACGCCGCGCACACACAGCTGTAAACACGGCCATCAATTCAGTCTTTTGTCTCGATCTCTGTGATGCGTTCTGTGCTTTGGGGCCCTGGAGTCCGCTCTGGTTACTCCTCTTAGGGCCGTTCCCTCGATTTTCTTCCTTCTCCATTTGTGTGACTCCAAAAACTCTTGCACCTCTGTACTCATGTTTTTGTTTTGTTTTGGTCTAACCCCTGATTCGGCTACTTCTCTACCCGGTGCTCGTTTCATCACAAAAACGTGGCATGCGTCGGGCCGGTCTCTAAGCGTGTTCTTACCGTGTCCGTTGAGGGGCTGCTTGGCGGGGAGTTTGCCCTTACGGGGTGTGGAGTGACATGAGGAGGAGGCCGAAGCTTGGCTGGTGCTCCCCACGACGTGGGAGTGAACGCCGTTCTGCACCTCCTCCTCCTTCTCCTCCTCCTCTTCGTCCAGCTCCTCCTCCTCCTGGGAGCTCCCGAAATAGGCCATATTACTGGGCAGGGCGGACGAACCTGGGCACACGCGGAGGCAGAGCAGAGGTGAAGGAGGCGGTTAGGAGGGAGAGACAGGTTGAAAGATGAGGGGCAGAGACTGGGAAGGAGAGAGGGAACGCTCATGTTTGAGACGTGAGGGGAGAAAAGAAAGGCACGGGAAAAAAAATACACAGGGCATTTCATCACTGAGACAAAGAGAGGCTGTCATTTAACAAGCCGTGTCCAAATAGATCAACATGCGATTGTCGAAATATGAACGTAATCGTTTGATTTAAAAAGAGAAAAATAAAATAAAAAGCTCAGGAGTTTGGGAATAATAGCGGCCGTGTTGCATCTGTTATTATCCCAGCTGGGGGCCCATTGACGCTTTGCGACGGGGCCCTGCACATAGCGCCGCCATTGTTACGCTGGCGCACAGTTAATTGCACAAACATAATCGGGGGCTTGAATGGCACGACGCTCGAATGGCAACAACTCCACCTGGCTAGAGTCGACGTGGCGCCCACAACACCACAAACCTTTTCTGATCTGCCGCCTTTTGTTCAGTTTCAAATGACCAAACTGACCCGGCTCACCGGGTCCGCGCGTGTTTTTCCAATGTCCCTGCACGGTAGTGGTCGCATTTGGTAACAGAGCACGGGGGGAAGAAAAGGAGAAGTCTGATTCCTAGAACTCAAACCGGAGCACTGAAAGTACAAAACAAGACGTCTTGTCCATGGAGGCTCACCACGCTGACAGTTTTATTGAGACGTATATTCTGTACATGTGCTCAAATTTCCAGCTCCATAGAAGAGTTATTTGGGAAACTCTCTTGTTGCAGAGCTAATCCCAAAGCTTTAGCTGCTAGTCTTCAAAACAGGTTTACTTCCAATCTCTACCCTTATTGGAGAGGAAAACCAATGTTTTCTCGGTTGCCTTTTTTTTTAAATTCCCCATCATCTCTCAGAAATCGAGACCAATGTGAGGACATAGGAGTTAAACGGTGTTTGGCAGCAGATAGCTTCCAACATTTCCTAAGTAAGTTGAGTTTGGAAGCTCTTACACCGACTGCAGGATGGAGAGCCCTGAGCCAAGTTAACAAATCTTATATTCAGATAAACGATGTGAAAAAGGAGGTGCCACGTGATAAGGTCGGTTGAAAGGACGCTTTCTGCTGCAATAACTGCCCCACAACTGATTAAATGTGGAAAACGAGCAGCAACAGAGAGCGTTTGGAGTTTACTGGGATGTGTTGTCGAGAGATAAGTGAAGCAGCTTCCTTTTCCCAGGAGAACAGAGCGGTTCACAAAGGCCCACATGTATGTGGGTACAAAAAGGTGGGCATTGTTAGCTAATTTAATATATTCCTTTGAGTTTTAACCCACAATTATCTATTTTTATTTAATCTTATTACGTTTAAGAGTGTCGATATCTAGTAAACTAGAACGTGCGCTTACAGAGCATTTTCAGAGCTTTGATTAAATCTGGCTGTGAGCAGGAACCCGTGGATTTTATGAAGTTGGGGGGGGGGCTTTATTAGTAAATCGATTGCGTGGCATGAGCAACTGCTGTAGTTATTACCCTTTTAGGGGCCTCGGTGTTAAAAGGACGTTAATGGAAAGTAGCGTGTGATTATAAGCCAATTAAAATAGTGTTAAGCCTCTGACAAACAAGCTGATTTTCTCTGGCCAGTATTAAACTATATGGAGAGACTTAACTTAGCAGATAACAAATGAAGACTCGGCTCAGCCATTCATTTAATCATCAGCACATTCGTATTTAGAAAGTGCTTAATGCTCATCTTCACATTTACTGAATTTATAGAAATCTAAGTCAACTGTGAGATAACAGGATGACATTAAGATAATGATATTTTATGACATACTTCCAGGAGTGGTGCGTCTTGTGCAAACAAAGCCAAAAATTAGAAGCAGATTCCTCCCCAAAGAATTCGCAAAGTCTGCGTTTAAGTAATCTGCTTTAAAGTGCAGAGACAAACGCTGGCCTTTGCCAGAGCTGTTGTTAGCTCAATTATCATGCAGAGAGTGGCCTGTGTAATTAATATCTTTACAGAGTGTCACACAAAAAAAACACAGTTCCACTCAGTGCGCGCCCAATAACATCTTAGTTGGAACAGTTTATTGGAGATTCAATTGAAAAGTTTCACTAAAGAAGCCTTTGTACTTATAGAACTGACAGTCACTGCTAACTTTTTTCCCTACCGATTCTGTCATTCTTTCCAGTTTTTATGAGGCAACATAACATAAATTGTTTAGAGCTTTAAATTGTGCTAACCACTACCAGCAGGCTGGTGGGCGTGCGGTTAACAAATGTCAAATAACATTAATCAGGAGACTTGGTTAAAAGATCGCACCCGTATTAATGGCTCTGCGAGTGTGGTTTTCCACACGGGCTGTGCCAGCTTCTACTTATTCCCTCAGAAAACCGGCAGAGAGAAAGCAAACCTATAGGGGGCTGAGGAATGCTTTCTTGGACTTCTAGTGGAGAGTTAAAGAAAACAATTTCTTTAACTTGAAATCATACAAAGCCACAAGTAAACCACATCCAGACTGACAGTTAAAAACGGAGCGCATGTTACGCGAGAGGACACACACACACACACACACACACACACACACACACAGATGGTAAGTACACTGCAAAAAATTCTGCATCTTGGCAAAAGAGCTAACTCTCAATCACATCAAAACACACACATTCAAAACACACACGCACACACAAAACACACACGACATTGCCACGGACATACTGATGCAATCAGTTTCTAATGACTGGCTTCATTACCTAAATGGTATTAATTTACTGCCCTGACAAGAGGTCAGTAGGCAAATGGCAACGGACCACGGGGGTGCCTGGGGGCACAGATGGGGGGAGTTTATGGGTGGAAAAGAAACATTGAAAATGATCACAACAGAGAAAGCGTGAGGACTGCATCTCTGATTTAATTCCTCTGGAAAGCTGCGCTGGGTTGGGGTTTGACCACCTCCAAAACATCTGGGACTTTTAGTCAGGAATGTTCCGTCGTCATGTTTAGAGCCGGCGCGGCAAACGTATGAGCCCTCAGAAACTGCCCGCGCTCAGAAAAGACACGTGCGTCCGGGGTGAATGTGGAAAAATGCAAAAACATTCCTTCTCCAAGATCTCAAGCAGGGCTCGAGCCCAATCCCCTAATTACACCAGCTTTTCAACCACCTCATTCTGGCCAGACAAATCATAATTAGGTCTGAAAGAGTCTATTAGGATTGTCATTTTTTAACAGGGCTCGAGGGTGGAAGGGGGCATAATTATAAACCCTCCATTGCTAGCTACTCTTCTTTTGTCCCCTTAAGTGGAACTGAAACAATGGGGACAATTTAAATAGTCAATCAGGAGTTGAGCGGCCGTGGGGACGCGAGGACATGCTGGCTCACAAATAGGTGCAAAATAGTTAGCATGTGGAGAAAGCAGGCCCGATCCTTCTGGAGGGAAGGTAAAATGGGAGGAAAAGGGTGTGCCTGCATTAGAGAGGGCATGTTTTAATGACCAGGCTCATGTAAAACTCTTCATTGTTCCCTTTAGATGACAGGAAAAAACACAGTGGATTGCATCAGCGGTCGATATCTCCCAATTTTCTCGACGCAAAACCTGTTAACCCCAAAAGCAGGCCGTGTTACACGGTGCTGCACTACTAGGTCCTACACAGATTCCTCAGTGGGAAGAAAAGATAATGCACACAAATCTAACATCAGTCATACATCAGAGGGAAAGCAAAGCACCTTATCCCAAGATCCCGAGGGAAATTCAGTTGCCACGGAAGCGATTCCCCAGGGTTAAAATGTACCTTACTTCTATTCTTCAAGACTCACAAACAATAAAAACACGCTCAGAGAATTCCAGCTGCAAGGATCAAAGTTCATCGCGCTACTTTTGGATTGAAAAGTCTATTCTTTAGATACAAATTGCCCGGGTTTGTCGCATATGAGCTCTTTTTATAGTAATCTGGGGTCTCTAGTTCACTGGGTCAGAGCTGGGAGGTTACGTGAGCAGAGGAGATGGCCTCGCTGAACCCGAGAGGCACCACTCCGGGGTAGGCAGGCACAAGAGATGGCCCCGAGGGCAGAGGCACAAGCTTATCAGCACATAGACGACTGGAGCGAAAAGGCTAAAGCAGGTAGACAGTCTTGCATAAGAAGTATTTCCAGGTAGGAGTCCAGTATGTTTATTTTCTGATCTTTTCCTTCATCTTACTCCTTCCTCGTTCCTTTTGTTCCTCAGTGCTGCCCCCATCCGGGTGTTGGTCGAACTACAACTCTCTCTTTTCCTTTTCTTTTTTTTTTTTCCTGAAGGGCCAAAGGGGGCAGAGGCAGACTGTCTGGCTACTGCCCAAATGGCTTTCTCCATGGATATAAACAGCCCAACATCAGGCCTGGACCACACATAAACACCACCCGGAGAACACAGGCGAGGACTGAGCGTTCGAAAGGCTGTGTGTGTTGGCAGGGGAGGGATGAGCAGTGGGATAAATGCGGAACGCGAGCCCGAAACAATGTGGGTGGTTAACATATATGATGCGCACCATTTCATACAGCAGATATTGCTCTGTCCGGTTACTCCCACACGTTGCCCCCCCGAGTAATCAGGAACCCCCGCTTCCCCACTGGAGGATTTAAAAATAACCATTCTTCTGATTTACTACGGCTATCTGGTGCGATAAAGATGCCAAAGTTTTGGGGTCGACATCAAAGTTTGGACACAGAGGTACACATGCAACATGCAGGATGACGACAGAGTGAGTTATGGAGTTATGAGCTCTTTTTTCATATTGCCAGCTCTTTTTTTTTATGCAGCTGTCAAAATGAATGACGGGCCGAAGTCTTTGGGGCTGGATGTGTAATGTTTGCCAGATAAGATAAGCAAACATTGCAGAGGATGGGTGGGGGAACGGGGCCAGTGTTTACACGCTGAACGTTTGACCTGAGACAATTCCCAGGAAATCACCTATATTGAAGTTTCGGGGGTGGAAAAAAAATGCCACTTGGTCTGCGTTCCAACTTGAAAAACACGAGTTTCAATTGAACTGAAAAGAGCAAACTTTTTTCCCGAAATCTGAATAAAGTGGAAAGAGACGGTTGGAAACATTTTTTGTGACATAAAAGCAGTGGCCTAATATAAATGGTGGTCAGATCAACAGATACGAGTCTCGGGATCTTAAACAGACTTTAGATCATGGATCAATCTGGAGATAAATGGAAGACATGACATCCTCGGTTAACGTGGATTTGCATCCACATCCACACCTGAACACACACACACATCCACACACTCTGTCAGACTTAACCTCGAGGGCTCTGTTGACATTCTCCCACGTCCCATCATTGGGTAAGCATCCTTGCATACGGGTCACATAAGAGGCTACGGGGGGTGGGGGGTGGGGGGGGGACGGAGCAGACGAAGCCTTGAAAAGGGAACTGTCATCCTAGAACATGCATGCGCACACACGCAAACACTGGAGCTAAAAATAACCCAAAGATGGTCTTTAAAATTCAGTAAAAAAAGCAGGAAGTAGCAGGGTGATAAAAGCAAGGAACTATTGTACATTCCTAGTGGAAATCAGTCAGCAAAGCACCAGTTCCAACATTACGAGGAAAAAGAGAAATGCATCTGTAGCTTTAGCATGTGCGGTTAAGGTTAATCTGGTCCTCTGCCTGTACCCGCCGTTGCCTGATTAGCCTCGGCAACGCGGTTGGCCTATATATGCAAATCGAGGTCCCTCGCACTGAAGACTTCAGTCAGCTTCAGCAACCTCCAATTATGCATTTTTCAAATGAGCCCCCTCTGAGGTTAGAATGACATCCCATAATGAGACTATTCTGCCCGGGATAACAACACACAGCCGCCATGTGTCGGCAGACACACAAATGTAGGTTTTCTGTTACGTTTCGAGCCCGCCGTGAGGAAATGTGCACAGGTTAATGATGCTAACGGTAAATCAGACTGAGTCGAGGCATCGCCCCTTTAAAAATGGATTAAGTCTGCGTGTGACGTGACAGAAGGGGGTGGGTGGAATATTTAACCAGCGATGATATTAATATTCAAAAACCAAAGCAAGCGTTTTGGAGGGAATGGTACTTCCCTTTTCATTATTAGGGCCTTAAATGGGGTACTTTTGAGGTTCCTGAGGAAGTACAGATGATACTGTACTGTGATAAGTGTCATTACATATGACATATATGTACACATGTACATATCCATAAATACATACATACATGTAAATATGCGGTCTGGTCCCAATTGAGCTTTTAAAAATGCTTCCCTGTTATCAGGCATCTTAGTCCTACAGAAACACTCCAAAATGCACTAAGCCACACATGTAGCAGAAACATTGTAAAGACATTGTAAGTCTAATATAGCAAGACTTTTTACGGGAGCCGGGTCGGATTGCGACAAAGGCTAGCATGACTACAGAAAGCATGAGTCACCCATTAGTTTTGATAGAACAGGCCAAGTTACCCCGATTGTCTTAGTGGATCAGGGCTCACGTGGAGCCACAGCAAACCAGGCTGACACACAGTGTCTCGGTAGCTCAAAACAAATGAATTCACGCAAGAGGAACGGTTCCTCTGCCCCGGCTTTTACGGCTCACTTGACATCAAACGTGCTACGCCGTGCTGATGAACCTGTGCGACGCTCACGGGGGGGACGGGGGGGGTGCGACTCTACCGGCAGCTGCGGTGGCAGACGGGTGACAGGCGGTGTTGAAAGAGGAAGACGACTGTCGAAATGCGGGAGGGTGAGCTGATGAGGTGCGGAATAATCCTAGCCCTGGGCAACTTTGGTGAGAACGGCGAGTTTCCGTGCGTGGACGGAATGGGGCGCCTGGGTTTGTGGGTGTGGACGGAGATCAAACCTGAGTAAACAAAACCGCTCCAGCGTGCTATTTGAAACATTTGAGTCAACTATGCGTCTACCTTCGCGTGCAAAGTTATCCAGACTCCAGCCATTTAAAGAGAAAGAGAAAGAGAGAGAGAGAGAGAGAGACAGAGAGAGAGAGATCTGTAGCATTGCAAGTGTCCGTGCCCCCCCCCCCCCCCGTTAGGCGTCTTACCTCTGAGACAAAGGAAGGTGAGGAAGTCCTCTGTCTTGGGCTTGCGCCGGGACAGGTCCTGGATGGAGGAGGACAGTGATGACGAGGAGAGCGAGGACAGGGAGGTGGACGGCGCGGCGGCCAGGCCGTTGCTCAGGCCGCTGCCCGAGTCCGACACTTTGACGGGCGTGGTGCTGGGGGAGTTGGGCTGCGACTGCGCGAACTTCCTCTGGGCCTGGAGCCGAGGCCTGGGGAGGACAAAACAAAACAATGAGTTGAGCTTTTTGTGCATCGTTTAAAAAAAAGAAGAAAAAAAAATCATACAGGATACTTGTCTTTTTCTTTTTTTTAAATGTATTTTACTACCACGGTCCAACGGCTATTGTTTCACTGTGGAGTGGTTTCCTGACACAATTACCCTGTTGTAAGGAATTGATTGCGTACACACATCTGCTCATCGAATGGATCCCAGTCCATCACCGCGCTCACTAGCTGATATTCAGCGAGTGGGTGCTCGTGAATGAAGATACAGACTTAACTGACACGGAAAACAACATGTGGCACGGTCCCAGTAGCTCCCCGTTATTACTGCGCTGTTGGTGGCAGATGCTGTTAAACACAAACTTAACAGCAACAAACCGACGCTTTAATATTTCCATCTGTGTCACAAGGGCGTCCTCGTAATGTTCGTTTTCCTCCTCTTTTACCCGTTTTCCCGTTATTCTATCCCTCCCCGCCCGCCTCTATAACCCCCGGCTGTCCTTTGTGGCGCATAAAGGATTCAATGCACCTCGCCGCTCGCCTCTTTCTTTATTTCACAGCTTGTGTCAGAGGAGGAGAGGGGGGGGGAGGGGGGGGGGAGCAGAATATCAAAGAGGAGTATATCTGAGCCAAAGCGGCGGACTCGTCACATCACCTCCTCCAGACGCAGCACGGACACATCTGGACACTTTTTCCACACACACACACACACACTCTTCGCATGCAAACACGTACACACACTCAGACTACAAAAGGCCCGGACCATCGGGGGCCACGCGAGCGTCCTCAATCGATTAGTGCTGCCGTGTGTGTGTCTGTGTGTGTTTGAGAGTAGGAGCCACGCTATAAATGTTGAGGAGCGGTGATAGAAGCAATGCGATATCCTGGTGTTATTTGCCAATTTGCTGCAGACCGGGCCGGGGTAAGTGGAGATAGGATCATGTCTGGAGAACACCCACAATGCATTTGGCGCGTCGGCTAAGAGGCGCGGGGCTCCGATTACACTCCAATCAGAGAGCGGAGCGCAGTTGAAACGTGTCAATTTCCTGCCCCGACATGGACTCCGTGTGTGAGAAATCGAGAGATGATTGCTCAGACGGTGCCAAAGCCCCGACATTTGGAGGCACAGCGCGAGGACGAATGTTCGTCGATCATCTCCCGTCAAACCCCGAGTTCACAAAAAGTCATTAGCATTAGCTTATGTGGAACTCACTTATGACACGATGAGCTTTACAAGCCCCGACACAATTAAGAGGATCTGTTTTTGATCCATTCGTTAATGTCTGTCATTCAGTGAGTAAAACGGTTTTTAAAATAACCTAGTTCTCTAAAGGAACGATATAATAAAGACAGCTTCTTTTTTTACTTACTAAAAAGCTGTGTGCACTAGAGATAGCACTATCAACTGTTTTTACACAACAAAGAACGCACTATTCGACGGGCAAAACAGCCCATTGGGGACAGACGTCACTTCGCACGGGGAATCAAAGGAATTTGAGAGTGAAGATAAACCGAGATGTTTGGGATCGCCAACACTAAAGGAAGTAAACCAAAGAGATAAGAAGGGGGTGACATGGAGAGCCAGCCAGGACGGATGAGAAGAGAAGTGGCATTAACAGCACAGTCGAAGCTGCCAGCCACTCACCCAGAAAATAAATCGTTTTTAAAAATGCTTCTAAACAAAACAACAACAAAAAAAGATGAGGGAAATGAGCAGAATGTGAGGAGCGCTCACAGAGAAGAGATGGTGATGTGTAAAAGGGAAGTTGGAGGCTGGGTAGGAGGGGGGGGGGGAAGAGTGTGACTACATATAAAAATAGGAACTTAAGAGTATGAGAGATGATGACAATTACACATAGTATGCCCACGGATGGTGTGATCTTACAGTTGTTTCAACCGCAAACATGTTGGGACAGACACTTCAGCATTGCAGGGGAGTGAAGCCCAACAAACACGTTTCCCAGTGTCTCAGTTCAGCGGACATCAAAGAATCTTTTATCTCTTGCTCATCGACAATCCATCTTGATTCTCAAGGTTCTGCCAAATGCACGCAGTGGAAATGCATATGAGGCCCCTGTGCAGGAACTTGATACTATGGAGCTCTTGTCTTTTGACAAGGGAAGAAGGACGAGCTAGGCGGTGAGGAAATGAGCATGTGCTTTATTTTTTGGTTAATAAAGAATTGAACGCATCGTTCTTTGGCTGGCTTCATTCTAAAATGCATTACTTGTGCTTTTGTTATAAATAGAACCGTTGCAAAAATCTATAAAAATCTCCACGTGCTACGGTGCTTTTGCCCGTCTTGTCTGGATGTGCGTTCAAATGTGCGTTTCCTAATGTGCGCGTCCGAAAGCTGACCAAAGTGCACCGAACACTGATCAATCCTGAATGGCCCAAGGCAGACTGGACCCTTTCTAAAAGCTCCCGAGCTGGCCGTTTTATGGCTCCGGCATGAGATGGACGGGGTTTGATGGTTTAAAGAAAAGGGGGGATGGGGCGTGTGACACGTGGACAAATAGGAAAACGGAGAGACAACATAAATAGAGCACAGGCAACGGAATCATCACAGACACAGATGAGCTTATAAAGTAGTGTGCTTACTCCATCCTGTCCAGACGGTCAACCGTAGCCTGCTTAGACGAGGTTAATGTCTTCCTGGCGTCATATAGAGTTATCCATTAACTAACATAAGAGACAGGGTTGACTGCCTTTCAGTGAAAATGCACCCAGGTAACTGAACTGACCTGAACTGGACTAAATTCTGTCTCTGGACGTCTGATGTATAGCATTGATTCTTATCCTCTCTCCCTTTGAGCAGAGCCGTGGCCAACAAAAAAAAACCTTAAGAAAAAGTGCTTCACCGATGACGTAATAACAGGTTTGCAGACAAGATAACGTCAGCTGAGCTGATAAGTGACACGATAGCACCGGGTATCGCACGGACTCAAACCCAGGACGGCTTTTTCAAAGCTGTAGTTTAAGGTCGAAACAGGCGAGGGGTTATTATGAGAACACGTACTTAACTAATTCAACTCATTTGCCGATTAAAGGGAATATTCTGCCCATGTCGACGTCAGACTGAGAAAAAACAATGAGAAGACGATAAAGAGTTCGAGGGGGGTGTGGGGGAATAAAGAGAGCCGCATGGGACCACTCCACAGTGGCGAGGCCGCCACTGCGTTATGGGCCGAGTGGTAACACGAGTCTCTGGATGAACTCCTCTGTGGGCCTGCAGTGTGTGTGTGTGTGTGTGGATGTAGACGTCAGGGTACACCATGTTCCCACGCCTGTCGAGCCATAGAATACTCATTGCCACGGTGCCCCTGTAGGAAGGAGAGGCGTGCGCGAGTTAAAATTAGTCCGATCGGCCTGATTAAAAGAGAATGAGAGGAGAGTCGGCGAGGAGGAGAAAAAAAAACGAGGAAACCGAGATCCAATAGCGGAAGAAAAAGAAAGATTACAGCAGGATGTCCCCATTCATCCCTTCCTAATCCACCTATCATCCGTCCCTTCCTCTTTCCATTCCTTCCTGCCGCCACCCACCCGCCTTCCCTTCAAAGAGCTGCTCTAAAGTCTAATATTACACATGCCAGCGTCGGTGTGCGGGCAGGGCATTGATTATCTCAGAGTGAAAGAGAGAAGGGGGGGAGAGCTGGAAAATGTGACGACCATGTCGACCAGCAGTCCCCGCGATGGCCAAGATGGCAGGAATACACCCCGTAATGGGGCTTCTGCTTAAAGTCTAACACCTCCACACTGTACTTCTGGGTGTGAGGTGGGAGAAACTCCTTTTGAACCCGTTTACCATCCGCCTGAGCACATGAGCAGAGAACAGGATGACTAAGCACGTGCACTGATTTATTGGACTGAATATCCAGTCCATTGTGCACAAAATCCTGATAAAAGGGGTCACAAAGAAGGCAAACGCTACTCAAAGAGGAATGCTGGAAATCAAAGTTGACCTGAATGTTAAACAAAGAATGAATGCACTTGCAAATGCAGGTGATAAATGGCTTTGGCAACAGAGATGGGAGGAGAGACCAAAAGAAATTAACTTCTGCAGGTCAGCCGTGTTTTCAAGTTGAAAGACATCCGCATTTGGCATTTGTATTAATGAGTGAACCCACGCTGAAAGCAAGCAACTGACGGCAGATACTGAGCACACCTCCAAGGCCCAAAACTCCACCACAAGCAGGAGAACACAGAGAAAAACTTCTTAATGACTCGCCTAAGCACCTTTAAATATAGGATCCCACTCGGAAACACGACAGGGAGTACGAAGGGTGGGGCCGGGACACTTGGTTATCAACACCTTGTGGCTTTTCAAGCCCCTTCCACATAATCAGCACTTCCTGTTTGGACAAGGGATCTTCTCATCGCTCCCAAACTATCAGATACCGGGTCTGTGGAGAACTTGTGCAGAGGCCCAGCGGCCTAACAGGACCGGGCTGTCAGTCTTGGGCGTGCCTGCGGGTCTGAGGTGGCGCGGTGCACCCCCGGTGGGCCCGCCCGGCCCGGTGGTAGCCACGGCACATGCCCCCGCTCGTTATGCGGCGCAGGCGCTGTGCGGTTTGGTTTCCGAGCTCTTGCCTCACCGCTGTAACCAGATATTTGGATAAGGCTGGCAAGGAGGGGGGGGGGCGTTGTGCACACCTTCAAAGCCTCTGGTGGATGCGCGCGGTCGCCGCGGCGACGCCGAGAACAAAGTGGTGATTAGAAGCAGCTGCCGGACGGCCACTTTTCCAGCCAAACCCTCTGTGAGAACAGGTCAGGGCAGGGGGGGGCAGAATCTTTTTTTTAAGCGTAAATAATCCACAAGTTATGTTCGACGCTGAGACGCCGGCTGCCGTTCTTCTTAAGTCTTTCAGAGAGACACAAATGAGTGACTGACGTTGTGCACGGTGTCCCAAACCTCTGATAAACTCTGGCTTGAGGCCGAGCTCCAATCAGACTCTGGTGAACCCTCCGACGGTAACGGTTAGAGTTTGAAGAGCGGAGCGCTGATCCAGAGTCTGTAGCTCAGGGGGGGGTGTATTAATTGGCTCCAGACGGCCCACATGGTCCTGATAAAACACCACCTTGCTGCAGCTGGCCCTGTGGGAAGCGTGTGTGTGTGCGAGGGCGCCCCTGGGCACATTTGGTCCACGTACGGGGCGCCGCAAACCCCCCCGTGTTTACGTGTCTGTGAATGTTTACATACGCCTATTAATCTTGAC